AGGGTCTACCCGCCCGATTTGCCCGTATTTTTCTCCTAGCCTCCTCCTGCTATTCCCTCTCGTGCTCCACCCTCCTCCCTCCCCCTTGCCCCTTCCATCCGTCCTCTCTTCCCATGCCCTGGGGGCTGCACGACATACACGTTGCAGGTGAGAAAGGTATACCCTGATGGGGGTACGATCGAAGGCGAAAAGGGCGGGTACCGAGGGTTTGGGACGTACGTGTTGAATGGCACGCGAGCAGATAGAAGCGAACCGTCTTAAGATTGTTGTGGTTGTTGTCGTCGTCGTCGTCGTTGTCGTTGTCGTTGTTGTTGAACATTATTAATTCTAAAGAATAATTATTGTTGGGACCCCTGGTGCACGGCCCCCCTGCGCCGCCTAGGCCGCAGCTACATTTTCATCATTTTCGTGAGGAAGCCTCAGGTAATTCGATGTGATCAAGATCCGGTTGTTTTGTTCCCCCCCGCTTTCCCTTGCAAAAAACACTATAAAATGACATTTCTTGTTCTAATATAATCAAATTTCAAGAATCCCTTGCAAAAAATAAGGTAAAGTGGACATTCGCGCGCGCAAGACGAAATCCTTCCAAAAGCTTAGTGTTCGGAGCGATTTTAACATAAAAACATCAAAAAACCAATGGTTTTTCAACAAAAAAATGTCAAAATCTCATCCCGCGCGCTCTTGCGGATTCGTAGGAAAACCAACACTTTTTAAACATTTCTGTCAAACGGGCTTTTGCGAGCAACTTTTTCGAACTTCTGCGACAACGGTTGCGCACCTGCCAGGGCCATCATCCCTGTCAAATAATACCATGCGGGACACATTCGTTTTTTTGCGCGCGCACGCCGAAATCTCCAAAAACCATTGGGTCCTCGAAAAACACCTGCACGTCTTCCCTTGCGAGTACGTATCATGTGTATCATGTGTATCATGTACCATATGCATCATATGCAACAGATGTTCTGTGGAAGGCTTAACAACTTCTGTGGGTTAACAAGGCTTAACAACGTCTGTGGGTGTACGAACGTAGGCTTAACAACTTCTGTGGGTGTGTACTCCACGCCAGTGTAGTAGCCACGGTCGTCCGCAGGCCACGAAGTGAAGTGTCCGAACGTCATAGGGCGGGAAGCTGGGTGTGGGTGGTGGCGAAGAGTCGTGTGGATATTTGGTAGAGCTTGCACTGCCCCCCCACAAAGTGGGGGTATTGGCTGGCGTCGCAGGAAAACCCTGGCACTGGTGAGAACACTGAGCGTTCGGGTAAAGTGATTGTTGTTGTTGTTGTTGTTGTCGTTGTTGTTGTTTTTCCCCATATCCTAAGGATTGGGGTTCTTGTTATTACTCTGACGCCTCCCACTCCTCCTCCTCCTTCTTCCTCCCGCCTCCCGCCTCCCTCCTCCCAATGATAATCACCAGATAAGACAAGACAAGATAAGCTACTATAAGATAAGATAAGATAGCACAATATATGATAATGTAAGATAAGATATATGACAAGGTAGGATAATATATAAGATAAGTCAGCCTATGGAGTAATAAGATAAGACACTATATGATGCGATAAGATGAGTTGATATAAGATAAGCTAAGACAAGATAAGATATTTCAAGATAAGATAAGATAGAGGGTAATCAAGGTAAGATACGATAGGACTCGATAAGATAAGATGAGACTCACTCTCGCTCAGACTCACTCACAGTCACATTCACTCACACTCACACTCTCTCATGATCACAAAACGCTGCCAGGGACATCATTTGGGAGCCCCAAGGGGGAGCCACCCTGGCTGATCTCACGAGCCCGTTCGCGCCGATTTTGGTGGGACGCCTCAGCTAGAATTGCCGTTTGGCCTCCCCAACATGTATCTCTTGAGAGCCTCATGGTCACAAAACGCTGCCAGGGGCATCATTTGGGAGCCCCAAGGGGGAGCCACCCTGGCTGATCTCACGAGCCCGTTCGCGCCGATTTTGGTGGGACGTCTCAGCTAGAATTGCCGTTTGGCGCCCCCAACATGTATCTCTTGAGAGCCTCATGGTCGCAAAACGCTGCCAGGGGCATCATTTGGGAGCCCCAAGGGGGAGCCACCCTGGCTGATCTCACGAGCCCGTTCGCGCCGATTTTGGTGGGACGTCTCAGCTAGAATTGCCGTTTGGCCTCCCCAACATGTATCTCTTGAGAGCCTCATGGTCACAAAACGCTGCCAGGGGCATCATTTGGGAGCCCCAAGGGGGAGCCACCCTGGCTGATCTCACGAGCCCGTTCGCGCCGATTTTGGTGGGACGCCTCAGCTAGAATTGCCGTTTGGCGTCCCCAACATGTATCTCTTGAGAGCCTCATGGTCACAAAACGCTGCCAGGGGCATCATTTGGGAGCCCCAGGGGGGGTCCACCAGGGGCTTCATAGTCACCAAACGCTGCCAGGGGCAGCATTTTGGCTTCCCAAAGAGGAGTCGACCCGGGCCTCCTAGTCGCCAGACACTGCCAGGGGCACCATTGGGATTCAGACTCGCACCCAGACTCACTCATACACAAGCTCACTCACACTCAGATTCATTTCTTCAGAGTCAGGCACACACAGACGTACCCATACTCAGACTCACCCACACTCAGGCTCACCTAACCCAGACTCCGTCAGAAGCCAGTAGCGAAGAGAGCAGAGAGGAGAGAGAGAGAGAGAGCGAGAGAGAGAGAGAGAGAAAGAGAGAGAGAGAGAGAGAAAGAGAGAGAGAGAGAGAAAGAGAGCGGGAGAGAGCGAGAGAAAGAGAGAGAGAGAGAGAGCGCACGAGCGCGAGCGCGAGCGCGAGCGCGAGCGCGAGCGCGAGCGAGAGAGAGAGAGAGAGCGAGCGAGCGAGCGAGCGAGCGAGAGAGAGAGAGAGAGAGAGAGCGAGGAGAGAGAGAGAGAGAGAGGAAGATAGAGAGAGAGAGAGAGAGAAGGAGAGAAAGAGAGAGAGAGAGAGAGAAAGAGAGAGAGAGAGAGGAAGTGAGAGAGAGGGAGAGGAAGAGAGGAGAGAGTGAGAGAGAGAGAGAGCAAGCGAGAGAGAGAGAGGCAGCGAG